AGTTTTTGATGTTGTTTTATTATGGTAAAATAGACATACCATCTTAACCATCATTAGGTGTACAATTCAGTGGCATTAAATACATTCACATTGTTTTTCAATCATCACCACCATCCATCTCCAGAACTTATTGCATGTTCCCAAACTGAAACTCTGTACCCATTAAACAAATAATTCCTTGTTGTTCCCTCCCCTACCCCTAGAAACCACCATTTACTTTTCCTAGGAATCTGACTACTCTAGCTGTCTCATATAAGTGGAACCATACAATGTTTGTCCTTTTGTGTCTGTTTTATTTCACTTAGCATAATGTCCTCAGGGGTCATCTGTATTATAGCAGGTGTCAAAATTTCATTCCTTCTTAAGGCTGAGTAGTAGTATATGTGTACCACATTTTGTTTATTCATTGATGGACAGTTGATGAACACTTGGACTGTTTCCACTTTTTGGTGGTTGTGAATAATGCTGCTGTGAACATTGGTGTATCAATATTTATTCGAGTCCCTGAATTCTTTGGGTATATACCCAGAAGTGGAATTATGTTCCCCACAGAAGCTTTTTTGAATTCCCAATGTGCAAGGGTTCCAATTTCTCTACATCCTTATCAACACTTATTTTTATTACTATTTTTTATAATAGCCCTCCTAATGGGTGTGAAGTGGTGTCTCATTGTGATTTCAATTTCCATTTCCCTAATGCCTAGCATTGTTGAGCATCTTTTCATGTGCATACTAACCATCTGCATATCTTTTTTTGGAGAAATGTCTATTCAAATCCTTTGCCTGTTTTTTAATTGGGTTGCTTTTTGTTGTTGAGTTGTAGGCAGTTTAAAATATATTCTGAATATTAATTCTTTGTCAGAGATATCATTTTAAAATATTTTCTCCTATTCCATGGGTTGCTCTTTCATTCTGTTGATAGTGTCCTTTCATGCAAAAAGTTTTAATTTTGATGAAGTTTTATTTATTCACTTATTTATTTATTTATTTATTTATTTATTCCCTGTGCTTTGGTGTCATATCCAAGAAATCATTGCCAAATCCAATGTCATAAAGTTTGTCCCCCATATTTTTCCTAGCTCTTATGATTAGGTCTTTGGCTCATTTTGAGTTAATTTTTGTGTATGGTGTAAGTTAAGGATCCAACATTATTCTTTTTGCATGTGAACATCCAGTTTTCCCATCCCCATTGAATAGTTTTGTCATCCTTATCAAAAATCATTTGACCATAAATGCAAGGGTTTATTTCTGGGTTCTCTATCCTATCCTATTGATCTATATGTCTGTCTTTGTGCTAGTACCATGATGTTTTTTCAAATTTTATTTCCATTATTTTTATTTAGGGCTATAATAGGTTCACAACAAAATTGAGTAGAAGGAACAGAGATTTCCTTTATATTCACTGTCCCCACATATGCACAGCCTCTCCCACTATCAAAATCCCATACCAGAATAGTACATTCATTACAATTGATGAGCCTACATTGATACATCATTATTACCCAAAGCCCATAGTTTATATTAGGGTTCACCCTTGGTAGGGTACATTCTGTGGGTTTGAACAAATGTATAATGACATGTATCCAGCATTACAGTATCCTATAGAGTAGTTTCACTGCCCTAAACATCTTCTGTGCTCCACCTATCATCCTTTCCTTCCCCCTAGCCCCTGATCCCTTTACTATCTTTATAGTTTTGCCTTTTCCAGAATGTCAAATAGCTGGAATCATACAGTATGTAGCCTTTTCAAATGGGCTTCTTTCACTTAAAAGTACATACTTAATACCTCCCAACATGTCTTTTCATGACTTGAGAGCTCATTTCTTTTTAGTGCTGAATAATTTTGTCAGGATATATCACAGTTTATTTATCTATTCACCCACTAAGGGCATCTTGGTGGCTTCCAAGTTTTGGCAATTATGAATAAAGCTGCTATAAACATCTGTGTGTAGGTTTTTATGTGGAAATAAGTTTTCAACTCATTTGGATTTTATATCAATTGTTTATAACAACAATTGACATTTCAACAATATTAAATCATCTAATCCATGAACTTGGGATGTCTTTTTACTTATGTGTGTCTTCATTTTTTTTTTTTCATAACATTTCGTAGTTTTCAGTGTACAAGTTTTTTGCCTCATTGGTGATTTCCTATGTATTATATTATTATTATTTTTATGCTCACCCAAGGAGTGAGGATATTTTTTCCATTGATTTTTAGAGAGAGTGGAAGGGAGGGAGAGGGGGGAAGAAAGAGAGAGGAGAAAAACACTGACTTGAGAGACACATCGATTATTTGCCTCCTGCTTGTACCCCAATTGGGGCCGGGAATTGAACCTGCAACCTAGAAAATTGCCCTTGACCAGAAATTGAGTCAACAATCCTTTGTTCCGAGGGCTGATGCTCTAACCATTGAGAAAACTGGCCAGGGCAGTATTGTATTCTTTTTGATGCTACTGTAAATGTAATTGTTTTCTTAATTTCCTTTTGGGATTGTTCATGGTTAACGTATAGAAAAACAATGATTTTTGTGTATTGATTTTGTATCTGCAACTTTGATGAATTTGTTTATTTCTAACAGTTGTGTGTATGAGTGATCTTTAATGTTTCTTACATATAAAATAATATCATATGCAAACAGATATATTACTTATTTGTTCCCAATTTGGATAGCTTGTATTTTTTTCTCTTGCCTATTGCTTTGGCTAGAACTTCCAGTAGCATGTTGGCCAGAGGTAGTGAAAATGGGCAGTATTGAAAAAGATCTTTTTTTTTTTTTTTTAATATATTTTATTGATTTTTCACAGAGAGGAAGGGAGAGAGACAGAGAGCCAGAAACATCGATGAGAGAGAAACATCGATCAGCTGCCTCCTGCACATCCCCCACTGGGGATATGCCCGCAACCCAGGTACATGCCCTTGACCGGAATCGAACCTAGGACCCTTCAGTCCGCAGGCTGACGCTCTTTCCACTGAGCCAAACCGGTTTCGGCTGAAAAAGATCTTTAAAAGAGATGGGATTATGAAGCCTTTGACCTATTTAAAATTGTGTTTCTCTGTGTTCTCAGTATCTAGCACAGTGCCTGGCATGGTAATTATTGAATGAATGGATTTTTTAAAAAGGCAGTTTCTCAAAACAAAATGAGTTAGAGGCACTTCTGAATGAAGGGTTGATTGGGGAGAAGGTAGCAAGGATTGAGGTGTGACCATATGGGTGATAAGGAGTCAACAGTTGTCCCCCAACATAGAGCAGGTGTTGGCCCCACATTTTGAGCAGCAAAATCATTTTGCATCATAGAAACTTTCCTTGGAAAGTCTTCTTTTAGAGATACCTCCCTGGTTAAGTTAATTCCCTTTCTCCATATTAGCACCCAGCAGCTGGAAGAAAATAATGTATGTTGTATCTCTTTGTATTTATGAGTACCGAATTAATAACTTCAGTCCATTGGATGCAAAGAAAATGAGTGAAATGCTGTACATATAGATGGAACTTGTTAATGCTAATAGAGTGTGTAACATATGCTTCAGTTTGGCACAGTTTAGAAATAATGTGAATGATTTAAAGTGCGTGAGGCTGTTGGCCTTCATTCTAATTGGGAATAGTTGGAAAGCTTCGAGTCACCACCATTTCATTAGTAATGCTGTGTTCTTCCATTGGAATGTGGCCCTCTCAACTTGGAGCAGATAAAAATTCTGATTAACTGTAGTCTTAGAATGGGAAAATCAAATGATTTTATTAAATGTGTTGGTATTTCTCCTCATCTGGACTTTAAACAAGCAGGTTCTAAATATGGACTAACATGTCTTCACTTTTTCCTTTAACGAGGATCATCTGAGTTACAGATTTAAAAATACATTCTGTAAATGCAGAATTTGGTAACTTTGATAACAATTCTGTAAATTCAGAATTAGATCAAATTTGATAATTTAGGCAGTGGTGGAAAGAGCAGGCCCTTTGTCTCAGTGAGGGAAACCCTATAGCTTGTGCAAAAAGCAGGTGTGTTTTAAGGATACAAGACTATCTTATAGGACCCAAGGACAGGAAGGACAGCCAGGCTCAGGATGTTCTGGGTCCAGGACCTGGAAGCCCTAGGAACTGGGGTCCCTCAATATGTGTCTCCAGGGCCACAGCGTCTCACCTCTACTTTTATCTCTGCACCTGCTCCTTTTCTCTCTCTCTCAGCAGATTGGCTGCCTTGGCTTCTCTGTGCACACAGCCAAGCACAGCTGCCTGGCTCTGGCTTTTTATTACTTCCAGTTCAAGGGCCAGCCGAGGCTGCCCAGCATCTCTGATTTCCAAATTCCTGGGAGAATCTGGTTATCTCATCTTGAGTCAGATGACCACTCCTGGTTTGTTCATTTATTTATTTAAAAACTCTTACTGAATGCCAGGAACTGTTTTTAGGCACTGGGGATGCATCCTACCCTATGGACCGTGTGTGTGTGTGTGTGTGTGTGTGTGTGTGTGTGTGTGTGTGAGAGAGAGAGAGAGAGAGAGATTGAGATTGTGAAAGCTCATTCTTTGGGGACTGGGTTAAGAGTTGTAGTTTTCAGAGAAAGAGAAGAATGGCTTGGGATCCAGATAGACCTGGCTTTAGATCTTGATTCTTCCCGTTACCAGCTGTGTGTGACCTTGGGCATATTAGAATCCCATTCGCAGCCCCAATTTTCTCATTGGCAAAATGGGAATAATCCTTGGTAGGTAGTTATGAGGATTAAAATGAAAAGGTACCTGTAAAGTCATGAGTGTAGTGCCTGCCACATGGAATCAGAACTCCACCCTCCTGGTTGTGACCCTGAGCAAGTTACTTAACCTGCCTGAGTCTGTCTCCTCACCTGTAAAATGGGAAAGAATATCAGCGACAGCACATGCTTATTATGAGGACTGAATCATGTGATGTGTGCCGGGTGCCTGGAGTTTGTACACGGTAGATATCAGTGTGGTCGCTGTTCCTCTTGCTCTTGTGATGATTAGTCACATTTTTTTTCTCTTTCTTCTAGTTCCCTTTTGGCCGCCGCTCGCCCTGTGACATCTATTGGCATGGTGTTTCATTTCACGACAACAACATATTCTCCGGTCAAGTGAACAAGTTTCCAGGTATCCACTGTTGTTTTTGTTGCTGGCATTTACGAATGTTTCCAGGCTGGGTCTCAGGGTACACTTGTCCTCAATAACATGACAGTGCTTTGAGATCAAACTCGAGACCTCTTCATTGGAATTGCTGCCTGCACTCTGCCTGGGCACCATCACCTTGGGAGGGATGCTAATGCAGAGGAATCTGGACTTAACCCACCAGGGGGTTGAAGATTGGAGGCTCAAAAACATCAGAAGACAGGCTCTCCTGGTCGATTCCACTGGTGGAAGGACATGATTTTCACTTTTTCAGTTATAGATATAACATGGGGGTGTGGTGAGGGGATTATATTCTCAAAATGAAAAAAAAATAGACCATTTTACTTAAATAATTTTCAGGAAACAGAAGTACTAAAATTCTAGGAATATGTCACAGAAATGGGGTTAGCAATTTTCATTTTCTTTAAGTATCACATTTGGAGGTACCATTTTAAAAATCAAATGCACCTGTCTGGGAATAAGAGGTGGCAGAACCTCTGCTTTTACCCAAAGCCATTATCCCAGTGAGACTTACCTGCGAGGGGACTTGTGCCAGGAAAGTGGCCTAGCCAACATTTTAAGATACCCCCTCAGTCCACTCTCCACCACCCTCTGTGCCTCTACCGCCCTCTTCTGCTGTGATTGCTATTCATTATTTTTAATGGCTAAGTGAAGAGGGTAGTTACAGTGAGTGGAGGTGCTTGGGGGAAAGGAACATTGTTGAGCTGGGTCTGATCATAGCCAAAGCGTCTTCAACTGATTTTCAGAAATTTTAACAGATGGTTCCAAAGCATGTTATAATATAATAATAAAAATTGTTTTTAAAAAGATCATCACCTCCTTTAACAAAACCACAATGTGGATATTTCTGTATTTCCTCCCAAACCTTAACCATGTTTATGTATCATTTTGACATAATTGCTCTCCTGGTCTGATTCCACTGGTGGAAGGACATGAGTGTCCTTTCACCAGAGTGTAGTTGCCTGAATATAAGGTGTTTTCTCTCAGTGTTATATTATTTATGCCTATTTTATTTATTTATTTACTTATTTTTTATTAAATAAATTCTCTGCTTTAAATATATTTTTAATTGATTTCAGAGAGGAAGGGAGAGGGGGTGAGAGGAGAGAGAGAGAGAGAGAGAGAGAGAGAGAGAGAGAGAGAGAGAGAAGCATAAATGATTAGAGAGAATCATTGCTTGGCTGTCTCCTGCACTTCCCCTCCTGGGATCGAGCCCACAACCCAGGCATGTGTCCTGATGGGAATCGAACCAAGACTTCCTGGTTCATAGGTCGATGGTTAACCACTGAGCCACACCGGCTGGGCTATGCTCATTTTGAAAAGGAGAATCAATTTGTTTTTTCCCTTTGGCAGTACATGCCACATCTGTAGGACAACACCTCTCAGAAAACCTAGTATCCATACATTATATACTGGCTGGTTGTACCTTGTCCACTAGGGGCTCTTCAACTGAGCATACAAACTGCCCCACGCCACAGGTGGCTCAGATTCACGTAGAAGGATGTAGGTCAGGACACACAGCTTGCCAGCGGGTCAGTACCCAGCATGTCTCTCCAGCAGAGTCTTTGCAAGGGTTCCAGGGGCTAGTGTCTGGTCCCTCGAGTGAAAGCTCAGGTGCAAAGAAACAAGACCTACACTGGTGGATGGGAATCTGTCTTGGCTTAGATGACTCATAGGACCCAAGATCTCATGTAGCTACTCCACAGCATAGCTTCCAGGGTTCCTGCCAGCGTCATGCTAAGTGACAAGCATCACCACTCTCAGGAAAGCCTGGAGTCCTGACTTCCTACCTGCTCTCTATGCAATTTGCCAATCAGGGCCATTTTAACCATATCCTTTGTTGTCTAGTAACACAGCTAACTCTCCACTTTTATTGGTTTCCAGGGGAACAGAGTTAGAAAATTAACCTGAGGTCAAATTTGTCCTTAGAGAAGGAGAGAGGATTCTGTTACAGAACAAGAATGATGCTTGCATTCAGGGTTCTTGCACACGGTCTAATGGAATAGTTATTGCTTTCTGTCTTACTGCGCAAAAAAAGTGACTTTTGTTGTTGTTGTTAATCCTCACCTGAGGATATGTTTCCATTGATCTTTTAGAGAGAGTGGAAGGGAGGGAGGGAGGGAGGGTGGGAGAGAGAGAGAGAGAGAGAAACATGGATATGAGAGAGACACATCAACTGATTGCCTCCCCCACGAGCCCTGACCAAGACCGGGGACCAAGGTACATGACCTTGACTAGAATCAAACCCAGGACCTTCAGTCTGCAGGCCAACTCTCTATCCACTGAGCCAAACTGGCGAGGGCAAAAAAGGTGACTTTTTGGTGCTACTAAAGGACCTATTGGGATATCAGGAGAGTATAATCTGAAAGAGAACAACTTTGAATGAGGACAGAGTTCCTAAGACCTGAATCATAAGTGAGGCTTCATTTACATTTCTGACCTGTCATGCCTTATCTAGAGAGAAGGAAAAAGGTAGGAGCTGTGACCCTCCATTCAGAACACAAATTAGAAATACAGAGAAAAATACCGCCAAAGGCCTGGTTTCATTAAAGGTGATAAAAGGATATTTATCTCAAAGAAGCAAGTTTGTCCCATCCTATATTCCAACTGCCAGTGATTAACACATATAGTTTTCCACTTTACTAATAGCAATTAATTAGCTCTAATGACAAAGTAGGATCTTGAACCTCTAGGCAGAGTGACAGTATGGCCACACCCTCCGCTCTGAGGAAGATGCAGTCCTCAGCAGTGGGTGATCACCGAGCAGTCTGTCCTTTGGCTCCAGTTTGTGTCGAAGCTTATCTTCTGTCTCCGATATATCCCATTATTTAACAAATGCACTTTGTATGCATTGTATGTTACTTATAGTAAGTCCTAGTGGACGTTCCTGGCAAGTATAAATACTTCCCACACTGAAAAGCAAAACTTTTGGACACGCATATGGGAGTAATTTATTTTGTTTGTGTCAGCACGTTAGATTTTAGCCACTTTCCTATGGGCAATTTCCCTCAAGGTTTGTTATTATATCTTAACTGATAAATTAAGACTTTCTATAAAAATAATCTGCTTTAAGAAAGCCTGAAACTCTCAATTCTTAGCTTACAAACAAGTCTTTTGATGAGTTTCAGGGTCTGAGATGTTGACAGCACATGGCGGTGGTGCCTGAGAGCCCACTCTGAGGAGGGGACTAGGAAAGGGGCTCCACTGAGGAATCCATGGGGGCAGCTGTCTGGCAAGCACTGGGCTGGGCTGGGGACTCAAGGACAAGGAGAGAGGCATGTGGAGAGGGAAGTGTGATACCAAATATGTGCTGTGTTAGAGGAAACTTGGGATGCTGTGGGGGCTTGGAGTGAGGACACTCGCCCTTACCCAGATTTGCTTGGGATAGGTGGAGTGAGAGATCCCGGAGAGGAGGATTGATGTGTGAGCTGAGCCTCCAGGGATGGATGGGCCTGAACCTCACGGAAAGCAAGGGAGCAGAGCTGGTGCAAAGACAGACTGCTTAGAACTCACTGCTCACTCAGCCAGGGGAAGTGGCCCATGACGGTTAGAAAGGGTCACGTGTAATAGGGGCAGTGGAGTGATGCTAGGCAGGGACAAAAGGGCATGGGAAGCCGCTGAGGAATTTTAAACCGCAGAGTGGCATTTTGGATTTCAGAAAGATCATCCCAAGAGGTGCATTGGAGGTGGGTGGGAGCTGAGAGAGGAAATGGAGAGAGAGCTAAGAGGCTGCTGCGGCATCCAAAGTGAACTTACCAGTGGGGATGGGAATGGAGGGAAGCAGATGGATCTGAATGGACTGTTCGTTGTTTGACAGCTGTTTGTGTTTCTGTTATAAATGATATTTGGATTGAATAATGCTTCCAGAGCAGCTCAGATTTTATTTTGTTCTTATTTCTTGTTTTTGTTTTTTAAATTGGGCAAAGTTGTTACACTCTTGGGTAACTCCATACGGGAAGAGACCCACCAGGTCTTGGGACTTTGCTGCAAAAAGAAGAATCCAGGCCCGGTGCAGGCGAGGGCCAGGGAGGGGGGGGGGGAGGGGGGGGGAGTGCGGGATGAGAATGGCAGGAGGCAAGATCTTGGTGTGAGAAGCTTCAACCTGCATTAGCGGGTTTCCCAGTCGATAGGGGAACTGCCGAGACAGGGACATCTTGGGAGAAACCTCGATGAGAAACCCAGGTACCCAGTCAGCCTCAAAAGAACCTGTTAGTAGGTCCTGAAGCCACAGACAAGAGGACCCCAGCCCTTGCAGAGTAGGCTAGGGGGGACAGAGGAAGAACATTGGAGAGAACAAGGCAAAGGCATTGTTAAGGTACCAGGAACAAAAGACGTTTCTAAAAATTGGGGACAAAGCAATGGAACCCCAGAAAAGCAGTTGAACTCCTCCTTATTTAATTGGACTACAAAGTTGGGGTCAAAGAGTGCCTTGTTCCTAGTCTTGGGAACTGATGGTTAGACCTAGGCTCCACCTCAGGTCAGAATGGGTCCCAAAGCCTAGGGCAGGGGTCACAGATAGGGTCAGGCACTGTAGCTGCTTACAGAAGGGAGACAGATTCTGGCAGTGACCTCCCTACTCACACATTTACTCTGGGAACATGGGCTCTGGCTCAGCTAGAAGGCCAGCTGCTCTTGCCAGCATCTTATTGAGAGAAGATGGCCGCCTCACATCTGTTTCTGAGCCACTGCCAGAGGGTAGGGATGCCAGCAGCATCCTCATGGGCTCAAGTGAAGGGTGGAGACCTTCTTCCTGGCAGCACTGGGTGGCATCACAGCCAAGATATGGTAGGGGAACAAAGGCTTTGGTGGTCAGTGGACTGAGGGAGGTCTACACAGGTTCCTGCTGGAGACAGGTGTACTGGCGGGATTAGGGCTCAGCTGCCTACAGCCAGCAGGCCGGCAGGGTCTGGGAAAAGTAGCCATTGGTTGGCAGGACTGCCTCTGAAGTTGACTGTCTTCAGGAAAGAACTACCTGGAGACAGACACAAAGGTAAACTCGGAAACAGAACCTTAACTGGTGTAGGGACCTCTGATCCTCAGCACAGAAGGAGTTACTGCAGATTGAAAATGAATATTTACTTCACTTGCTGGACCTCAATTTTCATAAAATTTTTCTGGAACATTCAAGTGGCGCTCCTGTACTCACAGCACTTCTGTCTGTTATGTGTGTCCTTCTGACCTGCTGAGGGGTTTCTGAGCCTTTCCCGCTTACGGCGCCCTGATGCGGAGCATACCACCACATTCTGGTCAGGAGGCAGCATCTGTGTGATGTAAGGTGCTGCGCCCCAGTGCGTTCCGAGGGTTTAGTTTAATACTAACGGAAACCTTTGTCAGACACGAGTGAAGAGTTCCCAAGAAAATGGACAATTTGTTTTTGTGTCCCCTATGTTCAGCTCCAGTGTTTATAACTCAAAATTTCATAGGGGAATAAAGAGGAAGAGGTTTGATTTTCCAAACTCATGCATGTTTCTTGGGAAGCTTAGGACAGTGTCCTCAGTGAGTTTGTTTATTTATTTTTTATATATATCGAAGAGTCCACATTAGAGCATAGTTTATTAGAACTTTTTAAGCCCTTTATTTCTTGCTTAATCCTTCTCCATATCCTTCTAAACAAGAACTAAGAACCTGGGCATTGACATGTTGAAGCTGCAATTTTTAGGTGTATCGCTCTTTTTAATATGCTGAGGGAATCAAGAAGTAGGTCATTAAAACCTCCATTCTCAAGTGTTTACCCTTTGCTTCCTGCACATGGCAGTTTAGAGAAACCTCGTTCAATCTGATCGTGCCCTCTTGGAAGGTGTGATAATTCGGACATGCCGAGCTAACATGAAGCTTGGTACTTTCTATTAAAAATAACTTCGCTCAGCCCTAGCTGGTTTGGCACAGTGGATAGAGTGTTGGCCTGCTGACTAAAGGGTCCTGGGTTCAATTCCAGTCAAGGATTAAAAACAAAAAACAAAAAAATACTTCTCTCAGCAATTTTCTAGTGTCAGCAATGGGACTATGTAGCTCTCTCAGGGTGAAGGCCATTTTTTTTGTTGTTGCTGTTAATCCTCACCCGAGGGTATTTTCCCATTGATTTTTAAAGAGAGTGGAAGGGAGGGGGAGAGACACATCAATGTAAGAGAGACATGTCGATTGGTTGCCTCCTATACGTGCCCTACCAGGGCCAGGATCAAGCCTGCAACAGAGGTATGTATCCTTGATGGGAATCGAACCCAGGACCCTTCGGGCCGACACTCTATCCACTGAGCCAAACAGGCTAGGGTGTGAAGGCCATTTTTAGCGGCAATATTGCTTTGAGAAATAAGCATGCCAAAATATAAAACAATTTGCTTAAAATTTGCCAGGATAAACACTTCTCTTGTCAGTGTTACTAAAGATGTGTGTGTGTGTGGGAGAGGGGGGGGGGGGGAAGTCCGCCATTCTTTTCAAATGTTTTATAAGTGAGGTATTTCAGTTCCCTCCTGATAAATTATTGAGATCTGGTCAATGTTCGCATCAGTACTGAGAACTGAAGAACTCCTATGGATTCCATTTTCCCCTTAAACTATAATTATACTGTGGTATCTTCTCCAGTCCCTGTCCTTATTTTAGGGAGATAGATTTTATGCTGAAAGGTATATATACTTTTATTTTATACATTTAATACTCATAAAAGATTAAAACAAACAATTTAATTAAGCTTCTCATGATGTAAGCACAGTCTACTAGACACTATTCTCTAGGGTATAAGATGCAAGGAATCCCAGAAATATGTATGGTGGCCCCAAATTTTAAAAAGATATTAAGTTTTAAATGTAAGCTATAACTGCTTCTCTTTATTCATTATCTAGGTGGCTGACAAAGAATGGAGTAATAAGCTAGGTGGAAACTCATTCCTTTGAATTGATGTTTCATTTTTATAAGGAAAAAAATTCACCTATCACCTCAAATTTTTCATTAATTTGGTAGGTCTTAACAAACCAGGAGTCACCGCCGTGGGGAACAACTCATACCTTTTTTTTATCCAGTCTGAAAAGTGACTTTGTCGGGTGGGTGGTTTTAAAAGTCCCAAACAATGGCTGTTTTATAGCTAGTGGCCCACTATTGTTAAAACCTCACAGCTTCTCTCCTCCCCAGGCATGACGGAGATGGTGCGTAAAATTACTCTGAGCAGAGCAGTGAGAATTATGCAGAATCTCTTTCCTGAGGAGTACAACTTCTACCCTCGCTCTTGGATTCTGCCTGACGAGTTCCAGCTCTTTACTGCTCAGGTAGATGGCACTCCGTCCCATGGCCTTGAATCATACTGTGGTTGCGACCGTGTCCTGGGTTCTGTGTGCTGGGAGCTGGGGCCAGAGGTCCCCAGGAAGCTGAGACTGGCCAAGGGAGTGTCTAACAGTACACAGTTGGTGTTGGCAGCGACCATGGCAGATTGCAGAGTTGAACAGGTAGGGTGACAGGTAGGTAAACTGAAGAAGTGGGTCCTGACATGAGGAGACAGTCCTGATACTGATATTTGGAGCTGCATCAGGAGGTCAGTGTTTGGGGAGCCAGGGAGACAGAGCAACAGAGCTGGAGCAGATGGCTGAGCCCATACGAGGACTGAGACTATTTGAGTGAATCCTGGAGGTGTGGTCCCAGGGTATGAAATGTGGGAGGTCAGGCTCCGCTTCAAGGCCAGGGAGTAGGTCTGACAAACTGAGGGGCGGGGGAAACCTTTTAAGTGTCAATTTGTTCCAGAATCAGTTTTCAAATCACCCATTCCATATTGAAGCAGTATGTTTGAGCATGAAATATTTCATTGAAAACCAATCAGCCATATATGTTTTGGTCTGTTTCTGGACTCTACTTTGTTCCATTCATCTGTGTGTTTACTCTTAGCTAGGAAAGCTATGGCTTTATAGTCAGTCTTATCAGGTAGTGCCAGTCTTCCCACTTGGCTTATCTTCAGAGTAGTTTTGGCTACTTTTGCGTCTCTGGGTCAATTTTATAATCAGTTTGTCCTATTTCTACAAAGACGCCTGCAACGACTTTGAATCTACAGCTCCGTTTGGAGACAGTGGACATATTAACAATGCTGAGTTAGATACATGAGTTTTTATTTTTAAAAAATGTAAATATATTTTTGATTTCAGAGCGGAAGGGAGAGGGAGGGAAAGTTAGAAACATCAATGATGAGAGAGAATCATTGATCTGCTGCCTCCTGCCTGCCCCCTGCTGGGGGTCGAGCCTGAAACCTGGGCATGAGCCCTTAACTGGAATCAGTCTGCAGGCCAACACTCTCCAGCGAGCCAAACCAGCCAAACCCATTGACCCCCTGTACCCTCTTCCCACTCCCTCCCCAGGCCTTCACCAATCTATTGTCTGTCCATGGGTTATACATATATGCATACAAGTTCTTTACCTACTCTCTTCCCACTCCCCCTTCCTTTATTTATATCTTCCTTCATTTATCTCAGCAGGGTTTTATAGCTTTCCCTACAAGTTTTTATTTTTTATGCTATTGTAAATGATATTTTTGAATTTCATTTTCCAATTGTTTGTTGCTAGTTATAAACATCCAAGTGGCTTTTTAATTTTGAACTTGTATCATATGACTTTGCTTGATTCCCTTATTAATTCTAGAAGTCCCTTTTTGTAGATTTATTAGGATTTTCTATGTATACAATTAATTCATCTGTGAACAAATGTTATTTCTTCCTTTGTAATCTATGTGCCTTTTATTTCTTTTTCTTGTTAAACTGCACTTGGCTAGGACCTCTGTACAATGTTGAACCGAAGTGATTAGAGTGGACATCCTTGCCTTGTTCCCATCTTTGGGGGAAACATATAGCCTTTCACTGTTACATATGATGTTAATGTTAACTAGAGGTTGTTCATAGATGCCCTTTATTAACTTGATGACGATGTCTTCTATAGTTTACAGAAAGTTTTTCATCATGAATGGGTGCTTAATTTTGTCAAATGCCTTTATGTATCTATGAAGATGACATGGTTTTTTTCTTTATTTTGTTAATATGATGAATCGCACTGATTAATTTTTTAAATGTTAAACTAACCTGACATAAGTCCTACTTGGTTCTAATATATTATTCTTTTTATATACTGCTAACCTCTACTTGCTGACATTTTGTTAGGATTTTCTGTGTCTTTGTTCATGAGAAATGCTGGCATTTGATGTCTTTGTTTGGTTTGGTATCCGGCAATCTTCATTAAGTGATTTGGCAAATGTTTCTTCTGTTTTTTGAAGATTTTATATAATACAGTGGGGCCTTGACTTACGAGTTTAATTTGTTCCGTGACAGAGCTGGTAACTCAAATTACTCGTATGTCAAATCAAAAAGTGAACGAGTGAGACACGTGATGCTGGGCTGATGTTGTGGCGTTCACTGTGACGTTCGCTGCACCAACTAGCGGTGGGGTATCTGAAGCTGGCTCGTAACCTGAATTTTAGCTCACAACTCAAAGCAAAAAATCGGCCAAGAGACAGCTCATATCTCGAAAAACTCGTCAGTCGGGACACTCGTAAGTCAAGGCCCCACTGTACTAGTATCATTTCTTATATGTTTGATGGAATTCACTATTGGAGGTATTTGGGCATGGAGCTTTCTTTCTGGGAATATGTTTCTTTATTTTTAAAAAATACATATAGGTAATTTTTATTTCAAGGGACTAGTCCATTTCATCTAAATTATAAAATCAATTGACATAACATTTTTAAAAATAGTATTTCCTTATTATTTTTTAACATCTATGAGATATGTAGTGATCCTCCCCTATTTCATTGCTGAAATTGGTAATTTGTGTTTATGTTTTTTTTATGATCAGTCTAGCTAAAGGCTTATTAATATTTTTGTTCTTTTCAAAGAACCAATTTATGATTTTATTATTCTCTCTCTTGTTTGTCCATTTTCTGTATCATTGATTTCTAATTTTTATTATTTCTGTCTACTTCTTTTGGGTTTACTTGTCTCTTCTTTCTAATATAAAAAAGCTATTTTTTTATTATTATTTTTTAATTTTAATTCTTTATTATTTAAAGTTAAAATAAAAAGCTATTTTAAAGAGGAACCTAAGTTCATTGATTTTAAACATTAAAGCAATGTTTTCCTCTAAGCACTGCTTTAGATACATCTTGGAAATTTTTGTATGTTACATTTTCATTACCGTTAAGTTCAAAATGTTATATAATTTCCCTTGAGATTTCTTTGACCCCTGGGTTATTTAGAAATGTGTTGTTTAACTTTTAAATAATTTTGGAATTTTACCAGTATCTTTTGTTATTGATTTCTAATTTAATTGTTGACATAAGAACATGTATTCAGTATTACCTTGCTCATTTTAACTTTATTGAAAGTTGTCTTAATGACCCATTTACAAAGTTGTCTTATGACCCATTGTCTATATTGGTGAATGTTTCATGTGCATTTAAAAATAAAATGTACTCTGGAGTTGTTGGGATAGCATTCTACAAATGTCAATTAGGTCAAATTGGGACTTGGTACTGTTCATGTATCCCTTATTTACTGCCTACTTGTTCTGTCAGTCATTGAGAGAGTATGTTGAAATTTCCAACTCACATTGTGGACTGTCTCCTCATTTTAGTTATGTCAGTTTTTGCTTTACGTATTTTAAAGTTCTGTTCTTAGTTTGATGATTTGACTCTTTTATAAGGAAATTTGCCTTGTCCTGAAGACTACTCGATATTAATATAGCACCTCTGGCTTTCTTTGGCTTAGAATTTTCATGGTATATCTTTTTACCAGTGTTTTACTGTTAACCTGTCTATATATTTTAAAGAGTGCTTCTTTTTGACAGTGTGTTATTGGGGTATGGTCTTTTATCCAGGTTAACAACCCCTGCCCTTTAATTGGTGTATCTAGCCCATTCATACTTAATGTAATCACCGATATGGTTGGATTCAAGTGTGCCCTCTTTCTGTTTCTTTTCTATTTATACTATATGTTTGGATTAATTGAATATTTTTAGTGTTTTGTTTTATCTTCTCTTTAAGCTTCTCAGTTATACTTCTTTTAAAAGTGTTTTTAGTTTTTGTCTCTGCCCCTAGAATCTAGGGTTTACAATGAATCTTCAACTTATCACATTTACTTTTAAGTATTTCCTACTTCAAGTAAAATATAAACACCTTACAACATTATATTTCTACTTCCACTCTTTTTCTTTGTGCTATTATCATATATTTTACTTCTGTGTTATAAACCTAATAATACATTATTATTTTTGCTTTGAAAAGTCCATCTATATATATAAAAGCCTCAGTGATTGTTACAACCAAATGACTGGAATGACCAGAACGACCAGTTGACCAGTCCCTATGATGTGCACTGAACATCAGGGGGCAGATGCTCAATGCAGGAGCTGCCCCCTGGTGGTCAGTGCACTCCCATAGCCAACCTCCCATGGCCACAAACCTCCTGCGATCCCTCCCCTTGTCCGGCAGGCCCTGTCCAACAGGCCTTGGCTGGCCCTGGCAGGCCCTGGCTGGCCCAGCCCCAATCGGGACTGGGCGAGATGGCCCCAATAGGCCCTGATCGCCGGTTAGGCCTAGGGACCCCACCTGTGCACAAATTTCTTGCACCGGGCCTCTAGTTATCTTATAAAGAAATTGAAAAATGAGTATATTTGTCATTTATACTCACCCATACATTTACATTTTCAGAATTCTTCATTCCTTAATAATTACAAAGAGATATACCTCCTGATTTTTATCCACCACTGTGGGTATAGGACCAGCACATTGGTGTTTCCACCCCTCCTACCAGTCTGGTGTGGCTTCTTCTTTATATCCTTTATATCCTTAGTTATAGGAGTTCTGTTTAGCTAGATTTCAGGCGGTTCTGAGTGATGAGTTTTCTCTAGTTTAGTTGTAATTTTGATGTAGTTGTGGGAGGATTTGAGTATCACATTTACCTACACTGCCATCTTCACTGGAACCCAGATCTTCTTTAATCTCTTTGAACAGTGATTTTTTTGTTTTGTTTTTAATGTACAGCTCTTTCATATCTTTTTTTAAAATTTATCCCTAAGTATTTCAAATTTTTGGTACATGGGCAATCTTTTGGTTTTCAACTTCATGTGAGTATTTAGAAATACAATTCATTTTTATTTATTAATCTTGTATTCTACAACCTTGCTAAACTCTCCTAATAGTTCCAGTAGCTTATTTTGAAGGTTTGATGGGATTTTTTATACAGACTATCATGTTCTCTGAGAATCGGATGGTTTTATGTCTTGCTTTCCAATCAGCCCT